TTTAGCAAAACGTATTATATACATATTTATATATTATATAACACAATTCATTTTTTGTGTTTGGGATGTATAACATCCATGTATACTTCCAAACATCATTTTATTTGCCCCTTTTCAACGTTTTTAAACTTTGATAACATAAACTCACTCTACCAATCACTTTTGTATTTGATGTTGGCATATCAACAACCAAAATGACAACGGTCAGAAGGATTACACTGTCCTCTACTTACCTCTACTACCTAGAGACTACGTGCAGAAGTACTCATAAAGTTTAAGCTCCTGTTGCCTATGAGGGGGTGAAACTCTCTGTGCTACTTTTGCTTTTCCAAAGTAGGATGTAGGCTACCCAATGTAGGTGTTTGTACTTTTTATGTGTGGAGCAAATGATATCTTTGTAACTTGAAGAAGACATTTTGTCTCTTTTGTCAGTTGTTTTTGTAGCATGTAAATCTTTTGAACAACAAAATTGAAAATGGGTTGTTTGGTGCAAAGAAATTGTTTTAGAATATTTAGCATTTTCATAAAGTGACTCATTCAGTATGTAGCAAGTCAACCCTCTGAAGCGTACAGGCACATCACTGTGTTTAGAATGCATTCCATTTATAATGTCACAGTATTATGTACTGTTATACATGAAGGTTTAGACACCCCTTATTAATCGTTTTGTAATCATCTTAACATGATCAGTCAATCATTTTGTTGATTTTGAAGTGAAAAAAGTAACACGGATGCATGTTGCATTGAGCAAACCTAAATATGACATGTCTGCAAATGTAATGTTTAATTACTATTTATTTGCTGACTTTAATACATTGAATATCCTTTCAGTCGATCCTCCAGTGTTACTGTTTTTTATAAGATCTCAGAGCTTATTTGACCCTTTAGGATGTAATCCAAATTGGTGTAGACAGTTCCAGAACTTAATAGATTTTGTGGGTGTTGTGCTTAAACTCAACAACCTTGGGCTCATCTAAGTGGCTGAATAAGACTCTTACAAAGCAGCGAAAGCTGTTAAAACAATATCTAAGCAAAAAAATCTGAAATGTCATTATGAAAGGAAAAATAAGAACTGTTGAAGTCAAGACCAGATTTGAAAGACCCAGAAAATTCTCTGATAGAACTGCTTATAGACTGATCAGGTGTGCAAAGCGAAACCCCCACATCACTGCCAAGGACTACAGGAAGATTTGGCTGGCACAGAAGTCAAGATGCACAGGCCCACTATGCAGTGTTGTTGCACAAACATCATCTACATGGAAGGGCCATCAGAAGGTAACCTTAATTGTGATCTCATCACAAAAGTCAGCATCTAAAGTATGCAAAACAACATCTAGATAAGCCAGAGGCATTTTGGAATCAAGTGCTGTGGTCTGATGAAACAAATATTGAACTCTTTGGCTACAATCACCAAAAGTATATTTGGAGAAAAAGAGAGAAGAATTTCAATAAAAGAACACCCTGCCAACTGTTAGGCATGGGGGTGGATCTGTTATGCTTTGTGATTGTTTGGCAGCCAGTGTCACAGGAAATGTTATGGGGTTAGAGGGAAGAAAGGATTCTACTAAATATCAGTAAATCCTTTAAGCTAATGTTCCACAGTCAGTGAAGAAACTGAAGGAGATTCTAACAGTTGCCTGTTGTAGAACAGTCTAGAACCACAGTAAGGATTCTACAGCCATTCATTCAAGTTAAGCCATTTTTTAAGCATTTAATACTGCAAGCTGTCCGGATGAACTAAACACACCCCATTGCAAAATTGAAAGCCCTCTTGTAAAACTGACCCTTTTAGCACTGTCCACTCGATGAATAACTTGTACCCACAGCTCTGTCCTCCTGAATTGATACTATCTGTCGTGTACAAATCTCTCTTTGGTCTATTTTAATGCCGCACTCTGCTCACACTCCCTCACGAACGTCACAAGCCATAGCTTGATTTCCCTACCCAGCAGCAGAGAGACTAGCTGGAGAAATTATTTAATGGCCTCATTATAATGTCTGATATTAGAATTACTCCACTCATATACTAGCACTGCGGGACACTCTACTCTTTTCTCTCGCCTAGATTATTAGCGAGTGCGAGAGAGAAATGAAAAGAAACAGGGAATTAGTAGTAAGGTTTTGAAGGCTATTAGCATCCCACGGCTTGTCTAGGGCTGGCCGGGGAAGGAGTGAGAAGCGAATGACAGGGCTGGCCACTTCAGCATATTACACAGTAAAGAGGGTGAATGGAGGGGGTCTGCGGATTCAATCATTGTTTAAATGTGCAGGAGTTGCAACGTTAGCAGAATGCAGAGAGATGGAGAGGAGAACGTGAACTGGCAAAGAGATGGAGAAAGAGATTTGAGGGAGGGAAAGACAGAAACCAGAAGTTGTTAGCTATACATACATATATCACTGCTGTTGGAACAAAACCTTATATCTCCATAGTGATAACTTTACAGGAGAAGGAAAAAAGATATTTTACTTTTAATGTAAGTCAGTGGAACCCGAATTTTGGGTCATTTCTTTGGGTCCATTCAGTATGACATTTACACACAATATCAAAGGCCAACAGGCATTTTAAATTATGTCAAAAGCAGAAAAATGACACAAATGGAGATACAAGGTTTTGTTCTGACAGCAGCAGTATATATATATATATATATATATATATATATATATATATATATATATATATATATATATATATAGTGTGGCAGGTACAGGCCAGCAGCTTTAGGCAAGGTTCGCATCATGGGGAAAAAATGTGACCACAGCATGATTGTTGGTACCAGATGGGCTGGTTTGAGTATTTCTATAACTGCCGATCCCCTGGGATTTTCAGGCACAACAGTCTCTAGAGTTTACTCAGAACAGTGCAATAAAGAATAAACATTCAGTGAGCAGCAGTTCTGTGGATGGAAAAACCTTGTTGTCTGAGAGGTCAACAGGGATTGGCCAGACTGGTTCGAGCTGACAGAAAGGCTACACTTACTCAGGTAACCACTCTGTACAACTCTGGTGGTGAGCAGAAAAGCATCTCAGAATGCATCTCAAATCTTGAGGCTGATGGGCTACAACAGCAGAAGACATTTGGTTCCACTTCTGTCAGCCAGGAACCGAAAACTGAGGCTGCAGAGGGCACAGGCTCACCAGAACTGAACAGTTGAAAAATGAAAAAAATGTAGCCTGCTGAGGCAGTCAGATGGTGGGGTCAGAATTTGCCGCTGACAGCACAAATCCATGGACCCAACCTGCCAACAGTGTCAACAGTCCAGGCTGGTAGAGGTGGTGTAATGGTGTGGGGAATGTTTTCTTGGCACACTTTGGGCTCATTAATACCAATCAATCTACCTATGAATAGCACATCCTGTTTGAGTATTGTTGCACCCCCATTAACATTGCAGTGTTCCAGTGTGCTATTTCTTTTGTTAGTTTGCTGCTGGTTGATGTATCCATAGTTCTCCTGTGAACATAGTCCGCTGAAGACGTCTTCCAATGCTATCATTACTGATAATACTGGTATTCCTGCAACAGTGGTGTGTACTGCTTTTTAATGTTACACATTCAATGTACTTCAATAATAAACAAATCTATCATGGCAGTAACTGGACATAACTTTTATCAAAAGAGCTGTTTATGGAGAGGACAACACTCTCTGACTCATACCAGCAACTATGGATGTGTCGGATGTGTGTTAATTGCGGTTTAATTTATAATGATTTTTTTAGGTTAACGTATTACTAATGTGTTACTAAATATAATATAATCAAAAATATAAATAATATAAATATTGAAATCAAGGGTATTAATCAGGAGTTTGTCTCCGTTTGCTGAAATAACGTCCTCTACTCTTCTGGAAAGGCAACACTAGATGTTGGAACATTGCTGTGACTATTTGATTGCTTTTAGCCACAAGAGCATTAGCGAGGTCAGGCACTGATGTTGGATGATCAGTTCTGGATCACAGATGGCAATTCAACTTATCCCAAAGGTAAAGTAAAGCAGCACTTTGGAGCCGGAGAAGTAGCCAAGGTCAGAAGAGTGTGAGGTTGAGAGTGCACTTTAGCGTGTGTTAATGTATAGGTGAAGACGAGAAAGCAGCATGTGTGAGTGATTTCACATAGACGCCTGCTGATTCTTCCGGAATGAATGTCGGAAGCTTAGATATGTCGGCGTTAACCCCCTCCCGCCTTGTCAGTGTTGTTACCTCATTAAAGCCGAATCAAGGTAACGGATCAGTCCATTGCAGCCCCCTGGGGGGTGGACTCCAGGGTAGTGGGCTTTGATGTTGAGCGGAGCATTGAGACCTACGAGACATACCGAGAGAGGGAGGGAGGTAGTCCGACATGAGTCATGAGCAACATAACGAATACACACATACGGTTGATTTTGTGCACAAACACACGCACACACACACACTGGATTGTCAACTGCTGGCACGTATGCATACTTACACACAAACATTGTGTTCACTGGCCAAGACCCAAAAACAAATGATGCATGAACACATGAACAAAGGCATTGTAATTTATAGGCTTGGATGCCAAAATACAAATGCATACAATGTGGACACACACCCCTGTTTTGGTGTGCATTGCAGATAAGAATGCATTTACAACATATTACATGCATAGAAGGGCTTTTAAAATTGACTGAATCTACCATTTACCTCTGGGGCACAATGACCAAATTCTGTTTTCTTATGGCATCAAGTAAACACTAGTTTTACATTCATGCCTTTAGATTTGCACAATTGGTCAGGCATTCCTTGGAATGCATGCACAATCATGTGAGAAATAACATTTGACATGCAGTTTTGCCACATTGTCTCAACTGTATAAGCTGTAGTGGCCCTGTTTTATCCTTTTAAATGTGACCTTGCGAATGCGGTGTTGTTCCAACACTGATTAGCAGTTAGTGCATAATGAATAAAAGAATGAAAAATAGTCACCTGCTTAACAGCTTCTTTCCTATTCATGTATTCATATGATGATTGTGGCCTTTGTTTGTTGCAGGATGACCACTCCATGTTCTTCCAGTTCGGGCCGTCGATAGAGCAGCAGGCCAGCGTCATGCTCAACATTATGGAAGAGTACGACTGGTACATCTTCTCTATCGTCACCACTTACTACCCTGGATACCAAGACTTTGTCAACAGGGTGAGAAAGATGCAAAGATGTCTTTTTTCAGGACCACTTTTTTTTATTTATTTATTTATTTATTTAATTTTTCAGCAACATAGAACTTAGAAACATGCTTTTTGTTGTTATCATATTCAAATATTTAATTAAGGACATTCTTATTAGGGTACATGATATGGACATATATATTGTTATATATTCACATATACATGTGTATGTGTATGTATAATTAAATTAAATAGTATAACATATATTTACATACGATAATGAAACAGTAGTAAAACAGTAGGAAATGCCAAATCGCTCACATTTTATAGTGTCACTCAAACTTTTCAGGTGTTTAAACTACTTTTGTGCCAAAACATATTCAATATGTGCATCTGACAGAAAACTGTCAATTTATTATTAAGACAAATCTTACTTTTCATATCAAGAAAGACACTTGGATGAATATGAAGATGACTGTGGCAAAATATACATGTATTAGAGGCTGTTTTCTGTTAACTTTGCAGGTATTTGTTTTACTTAATTTAAAAGTACAATAAAAAACAAACATTACTTGGGAAATTTCAAAAGAAAGCACGCTGTCCCCAGACTTTTCACAGGCAGTCTACATGCATGTTGCCCCAACTGTAAGCAACTCCCAGATTATCTAGAACAGGATTTTTCAACCTGTAGGCCGAGGACCACCAGTGGGCCGTGAAGCACCCTCTAGTGGTCTGCAAGCCTGTCCTCAGAGGGAGGCGGTAATTTAGGCCGGTAACTTCACTGTGTCACAAAAACATAAAAACACGATGGACTACAGCTCCAAATCACATCTACCTTGTACATTTCTATTCTTTTTCACCCTTTTTAACATCACTACAACCATGTGGCCTTTTAACATGTTTCATGTTTTTTAACATACCTACAAATTTTGCAAACCTAATGAAAACGAGAATGGCCAATCTGATCTTTTTCAGGGCCTAATTTTCAGGTTTTTAGTAACAGAATTTAAGAAAAGAAATATAAAGTTGTATTTTTAAAAGTTGATTTTAGTTTTCCTGTGGGCCACTATGCTTTGTAGTTATACACAGGTGGGTCTTGGGATGGGAAAGGTTGAGAAGCCCTGATCTAGAATTTAGTTTTGACTCTTCAATTGTTCATGGCACCAATTACTGCCTAGATGACTTGACCTCAAAATGATGTCTCAGTCCAAATGTCTTTGAAATCATGTCTGGAAGAATCAAGAGATATCACAGTGTCTTTGTTATCCACTTTGTTGAAAAAAAAAAAAACGTTCTTTTGTGGCTGTTCTTGATCTCACAGATAAGAAAGCAGTGGAGAAGAACTGGCCCTACTGCAGACATATTTGTCATTTCTATAATGGAGCAGCGCATAAACAGGGTGTACTTCCGTAACTGTCTCGCCTGCAGAGATCAACAGAAAACAGGTTTCTTGGGGATAGGGAGACACATTGTGGGAAATGGAGTTTGGACTACTTGCTGGAGTAATGCTGGAGTACCATATAGAACAGTTACGATGGCATGCTTATCTGAAGCACCTCTTTTTTGCAAAACCGTAAAGACAAGCTAATAAATTTCAAAGTGCTGCTTTAAAATTCGATTTCCTCCATCTAATTCACTCACTGCTCGGTATTGATGGGGCACTGGAGTGTAATTGCACAATGTAAAATGGAAAAGGTGATTTGACATGTCGATTACTAGTACTTATTGAAAAAAGTATACAATTTTGAGCCATGTTTGTAGTACGTTGACATAACGGCTGGTCATTTTACGTCACAATTTGTTTCCTTGCTTGGGCGTCCGACTGGTAATTACGGCTCAGAGTGACACTTGAAGGTTTTTTCCTCTGTTGGGAGCTTGTAATTACGGTAATTCCAAGGAGATTTGAATGCAGCCAATTGTGTGGGTTGGCAGTTGGTGTAGTTGTGGAGTGGGAAATGTAGATTAAGCGCACCATATAGTATAGTTAGAGTGAACTGGGGGCCATATTAGTTGCATTTCGGGAAATGCGGTTTTAACGTTTCTGCAGAGGTTTAGCATCTCAGAGAACAGTTTTTTTGTTGGGAGTTGTAATATAGAGCAATAAGCTATGAGAGGCCATGTCTTATGATTTTACAGCGGTTTGTTAATTACATTGTGGGAAATGTAGTTCTTATCTGTTTTTTCCCTCGTACAGGTTCGGAGTACCATAGAGAATAGTTTTGTGGGCTGGGAGTTGGAGGAGGTGTTGCTGTTGGACATGTCGGTGGATGACGGCGACTCTAAGATTCAAAACCAGATGAAGAAGCTCCAGAGCCCTGTGATACTGCTGTACTGCACTAAAGAAGAGGCCACCACCATTTTCGAGGTGGCACATTCCGTCGGCCTTACTGGATACGGTTACACCTGGATCGTACCAGCACTGGTGGCGGGGGATGCAGACAACGTGCCACCTGTTTTTCCTACAGGTGCGAATGAAAAGGGGATGGAGAGAGGAAAAAGGATGAAAGGAAAAAATAGAACAGAGAATGCAAAAAAGAATGGGAAAGATTTGGGTACAATTCTGGATTCAGTTATGCTTTTGTAGGAAACGATTCAGCACATAAAAAATTTTTAACACAATTCAATTTTGTTTCTATTCACAATTATTTTACACTAATGTATCTGTTTACTTTTTACACAGTAGTGATACACAGGCAATCAAATCAATACTCCAAGCTTTTCTTTAAATTAATTTTACAAGGGTTCCCAAGTGGTGTCCAAGTAAAAATATGCACTGGTGCTTCACGTGTCAGAGGAAGCGGCATGCTAGCCTTCACCCTCCCTGCTTACTAGCACTGTGTGATGGGGGAAACCTAGCGAGCAGGCTTACAGCAAAGTGTCAAAATCTAAGACTTAAAAAAGAAAAAAAAATATATGTTAATCAAAAGGAGATATAATGATTAAAATCACTGTTTGTTCTGCCAGTTAGCATACATTTGTGTAGTTAAACAATTTGAGCAGCAGCAGAGTGAAAATATCGGCTCATTGGAACTTTTTCTTAATTTCTATGGGCGACATTAGACGAGCGGTTTACTATCTGTTTATATTAAGCATCAGTAGGGTGTATGGCACACATGAACTCCGCTACAGGACTGGTACCACTTTAAAACAGGGGTGCGACGATTATTCGACTTAGTCGACTAAAATCGACGACCAAATTAGTTGGCAACTAATTTAATAGTCGATTAGTTGGTGACGTCATTACGCGTCTTTCTCGCGCTCACTAGAAACGTTTTGGCATTACCGCTTACTGGAGACTTAACAACAGCGCGGTGGCAGCCTCAAGAACAAAATCCTCAAATGTGTGAGAGCTAAACTCAGAAACAAAGGTTATCAGTCGTGCTGTTTGTAAAGCCGACCTTAGCTGGCTATGGGAGCTCATCCTCCATACTGTAGCATCTGAAGAGGAAACTTGTCTCACTGGGTGAAGAAGATTCATCTCGGTAAGATACGCCGCGTCCCAAACCGCATAGTAGCACAATAAATAGTGTGTAAAAATAGCGCATATACCGTTAGAAGTGCACTTATTAGTGTAGTGTGTGAAGTACAGAAGTGTGTGGTTTGGGACGCGGCGATAGTTGTGGTAGCGAGCTGGTTAGAAAATGTTATTGTTAAATTCCGTCCTACCTCATGTTCTGAGCTGAGCTGTAACGTTTTCTGTTTCGAAATGCTGCTCTCTGGAATCGTTCATGGAGTTGGAACAGAGAAGCGAGTAACTATTATTCACAGCGACTCTGTTCCGGATAACGTTCACAGTTTCAACACTACATCGTCGTCTTAACGTCGAGGCCACCGGTGCGTTCAGATTCGGAGAACACAGGAGCGCGTTTACAGTTTTCCGTTCTCCACTCGCTGACAGTTTAAGGAGGTGGTTCTCCGTGAACACACAGGGCAGCTGGACGAAGGGTTACCGATGAAATGAAATGTTTTCACAAAATCGTTAATTTAACTGTTCATAGAGAAGTTCGCCACAAACATTCACCACTTTCCCATCCGCTCCATCAGAGCGCGTCTCCTCTACAGCGGGGAGTATCCGCTCTCAGACTCTCACAGGAGCACAGAGAGATGCTGACTTTCCTCAGTTTCAATAAAGACCTGTGATTGTAGAATCTAGTTGCAGTAAAGTGTAGACAGACAGCAGAATGAACAGAGCACAGACTGCACTGTTTAAATTTAGACTGTATTTATTTATTTGATTAAAGAAAAACGGATTGTTTTGTTGTATTTTATTGCTGCTACTTTGCGCATCCTTGGTTATAAATTTTGACAGGAAAAATATATTGAAGTTTTTTTTTTATCTTTTGTGTTAGAAGGAAAATTCATTAAAACAGTGAATGCTTGAATGTTATTCATATTTATTGTCTTCATTGTTAGTTAGCAAATGTATAAAACAACCTCAAGCTAAATTTAAAAGCTAAAAACTACATGAAAGTTATTTGGTAATGTAGTGATTCATAATCCAAATAATCGATTATTCGTTTCAGTAATTGATAGATTATTCGACTATGAAAATACTACATTCCCTGCGTTGCTCAGAATACAGCGAAACCACAAAAACAGATTGGAAAGTCGCAGTTTTTGATTTGATGAAAACATTATAAGTATAATAATTAAGTATAACCAAGAAATTAATGGAAGTCATTGCTTTGGATGGTGGATTTCGTGACACTGTAGCCTGCACAGTGAAATCATTTTAGTTTATTTTTTAAGCTGTTTGTTATTATGTTGTTATTTGTTATTATGTTGTTTGTTATTATTTTCGGTTTCAGTTCCGGGCAAGAAATTTAATTTTGAAGCAGATATTACTCACTTTATTCAATTTTATCAATCTTGATCAGTTCAACCAAACCGATGCAGCTGAATCGGCATGCATTGCCATACATCAGTGCATTTTTACAGTCCCAGAAATGTTGTTACATGTACAGTACGATATGAAGAAACAGCTTAGAGCATAACAGAAATGGCATGTGGTATAAAAGGTTAAATGCTTAATAATGTAAAACTGGGGAAGCGAACTATGCTGCAACATATGGAACAGGGCTTTAGTTCATCTGACCAGTTGTTTTTTGCTTTTCTTCATTTTAACTGAACAGTATCTTTGATGGGAATAAAAACAGTTTAAACCTACCAAAGCACAAAGGTTTAACTGAAAACACTTTTATATAGTGTAAATATCTCCCTCTGTCTCTCTCAGGTCTGATCTCCGTGTCCTATGATGAGTGGGATTATGGGCTGGAGGCTCGTGTGCGTGATGCCGTGGCCATCATCGCCATGGCGACCTCCACCATGATGCTGGACCGAGGTCCACACACGCTGCTGAAGTCAGGTTGCCACGGTGCGCCCGACAAGAAAGGCACAAAGGGAGGAAACCCCAATGAAGTGCTGAGGTGAGTCAGACTGACGCCCACCCACGCAGACACACAGGCTCATACCTATTCACTAGAAAGATTTTTATAGGAAGTCTTGTTGGTGTCTCTTGGTGTTGTTTTTTTTTTTTGTGCTTTTAGCCAGAATTGATAGTCAGTGTAATGATTTTGGAATGGACCAAGTGTACTCACAAACACGCTAATATATACACACACACCTCTCTTGGAAACACTTAGACTTACAGTCAATTTGTCTTGGTCAATTTAGAGAGAGAGACAGAGAGAGAGAAAGAGAAAACACTGAGAACGAGATTTACTAAGAGCACCATTAGAGACAACTAATTTACTTGCTCAGAAAATTAAATGGTAGTGGAAATCCATTTCCTGTTTGCCAGTGTGCTTGAAAACGATGTTGTTATAGACCATCAGAGGCTAAAGAACTCCATTTGTATACTAGATCATGCCTTTAACCCTTAGAAGTCATCACCACCAACAACAAAACTTGGTGTCATTTGATGTTGTAACATGGGGGGTTCTCACAAGAAACTTAGACAATCAAAGTTTGGGTCCAGACCTCTGCTTTACTGGTCATTACTCAGAGGGAGTGTACAAAAACGAAAGGGGAAACAGAGTGTAGTGCCATTTAGTTCTAATGAACTAAATGACCAAAAACTAGCATGCACAAACATTTTATTAACTGGGCACCCTTAAACTTAAACTAAACAGAACACAGGCGTGCTCTAAAGCCACAATATTAACCCTTCAAATTGCACACATACTATTTAGTTATAAATCTTAAGACTTATTAACCAACAGTAGTAACTACTATGAAATATTTAGCAACTACTGCAAAACTAATAGGCAATTTAAGTAGGTATAATAGTGAGGAATTGAACCCACATACGAGCCCTTACAGTTTAAGGGGTTAACTCTAAGCTATTACTCATATACCTTAGTTTTTATAGTTGTCTTTATTCACAAAGGTCCACATCCTAAGGTGGAGTTCCCAATGTGTTTTTTTCTGATGTCTGTTTTTTTTTCAGGGGTTAACAGTGTATTTTTTTTGAACGCTGCTCCTGGTTGCACATCATAACTCTCAGTCAATTGTAGTAGCTAGCTGCTGTTTTAATATGTGTAGACAGAAAGCTTCTCAGCCCTTTTAGAAAGTACACTGGGGAAAATGATTGGATGTTTTAACTTAAAGTAAATAACCTGGTGGCCTTCAAATTTTGAATTCATTGAACTTCTAATAGTAAGCTAACACAGTAGTCTATCTTACATTCTGTTAACTTATTATTGTCTGTCTACATTCGGTAAATTTGTTATTGAATTCAGTGAACCCAAAATTTAAGGCAAGTTAAACTAGCAGATGTGGTGCTGTCAGTAAAAGCAAGCTACACTTTTTAAAAAACTGTTATTTTATTTATGTCGTGCTAATTTTGGTCTGTGAAATCATACAGTTTTGGGTACCCAGTGACTGCAAAGTTACTGAAGGCCTGTCTAACGTTTGATCTGATTGTTCAACACAGAAAAACGTTTGTTACGTAGGGTACTTCACAGCTTTGAGTTTGTTACGTAGGCCACCTCGCCCACAGAAAACAATAGTAAAAAGGCACTTTAGTTGGCAAAAAACACATCCAAGTGAACCCACGCTAAGGCTTATCATTCAATAACTATGTGGAAAACAGTACAAAATGATTATTATTATTACTTCATAGGATCACCCACCAGTGGGTCCATGAATGTAAGGAGTTGATGGTTTCTCACTTATAGTACATTAAATCAAGTGGAGACGTTGTGTCAAAAGTCACTTTCTGAACTTTCGGTCCATACACTGAAAAAAGTAATGCATCAAATTGAACAGATTTAAATGAGTACATCAATTCCTTATGAATAAAATGCACTGTATGTCCAAAAATATCCAGACACCCCTTCTATTAAGTGAATTCATTATGTTCAGTTATGCACACACAGCATATATAATCTCCATAAATAGCCAATAGAATGGGACGCTCTGGAGCAGTTGCACATGAGCAAGAACACCATGCCCAATACTAAGCGTCAGCTAGATGGGGTATAAAGTCCCTCAGGGCTTTGGAGCAGTGGAACTGAGCTCCCTGGAGTGATGGAGCGCCATCCAATACCTTTGGCATGAGTTTGAATGGTGTTTGTACTCCAGAACTAATCATCAGCATCAGTACTCAATGATGTACTTGTGGCTGAATGCATTCAGATCTTCACAGCCATGTTCCAACAGCTAGTGTTGTACGAGTAGTGTATATCACAGTACCACACATCAGTGACTGATTTTAGTTTTCAAATATAAACTGAAAGAAAAAACTGTCTAAATATTTGAAATGAACACATTTGATTCGAGTAGATTAAATGCATTACATGTGTCAGTGTGTTTGTAAGTAGAAGAGAAGTTTTTTCTTTATGATTTGAACTTGATAAATAGCTTTGTTTAACACAAAGAAAAACAATCCGTTATCGTTGTTGCTATGTTTATCATTTCTTGACATTGAAACAAATGAAAAAAATGACTCAGAATGTAAACTGAATTTAAATAGATTTCATTATTAACGTACTGTGTAATTTTGCATATAATTATGTAATAATATTTAAAAGCTATATCAAAATGAAAGTAATTGTCTAAGGGTTAACTTTCCTCACTGACTGACACTGAGGTGTTTTTTGGGACACTGACAGTTAAACTCAGTCTCATATGAAGGAGAGAAATGCACAAAACATTTCAGTCAGCAAGAATGCGATTTTCTGAAGTGAGTGAATCAAATGCAGAGGTGCATCTCCAACTGGTCACATTAACAGAAAGGCGCAGGAGAAAATGAGCTGAATATAAAAGAACGAGGCACGATGTGTTTAAAGATGACCACGGCACATCGACAGAAACCTTTTCCCCATAATGGAGGCGCCTGCATCTGCGCGGAGAAACGTTTCAGCTCATTCAGGACCTCAACGGGAGTCGCTATTCTTTTTATTACCGTTACACAGCCTGTTACCCAGCGCCATGGGTAGCACTGAGGGGGAGCGTTTCGGGTGAGTTCTGCGGGTCGCCTATCGCTCCTCCTCAAACTGCAGGCAGAGCAGTTTATTATGAATATATTAGCCCCTGAACACCTGAATAAAGCAACCTCCCTCTTTTTACATTCCCATTTCCGTTTATTCTTATAGCAGATGCTCTGAAACGGCAAACAATCATATAAAGTATCCAGCGCATCTGCAAAGATTTATAAAGACATGAGTCCTATCGTGGCTCTGCTTAAATATTGTAGGCCTTGAGGACAAAAATGTTTTTTTAAAAGGTTTCTTTAAGGACATATATTTTAAATTTTTGCTGTACTTCATGTATCTTCCTGAGGGCCACTTAAAAACCACCTTTGTGTCATTTTTTAGCCTCTCCTTATCCTTTAGAATTAAGCAAGTTTCTCATATTGGGCCTGATGTATGTAAATTATATGTAAATTTTATATAAATGTAAATTATTTATTCTGATTGGCTCCCTGTTTTGTGCTTCATTCAAAAAGTAGTCTGGCCTGAAACACTCCTTATAACTTTACCGTGATTGGGTGGAGCTAAACTGCTAGGGGCTGAAAAGGCAGATGTGCAGTCATATGCAGACGTTTTGGCAAATTACATGTTGTGTTGATTTTCTAAGTAAAGCAAATGAATAGAAACTGTGCACTAGCATTGATAATGTCATATTTTAATTTGTTTCCTGTAGAGGATAAGTATATAATATAATGTGTAATAACTTATTTCCACTTCAACAAATCAGCAAAACATGTCATTTGACAAGGAGAGTTCAAACTCTTGGATATGACTGTATGTAAATGTGTTGGTTTTAGTGACATTAACAGTTTAACAGTGTTTACACGCTACTTTAACTCCTTTACTAAAAGGAGCATGAAAAGTGTCAAAGAGATGAATGTTTTGATATCTAACAGCAAGTAACTCCTCTAGCAATGGCTTTCAGTTTAAGGAAGACACATGAGACATGGGTGCTTAATCTGTTGGTGATTACTGTCTATACTGATGCCAGTCTATTATATTTACACGCCCACAGGACGGCCCGCAGCTGGCCTAATATAAATTCGAGCACAAGTGCCGCAGCGTTTCCATTTAATGATGCAGGCGCTAAGATTTACTAGGGCAGTTGCTATCAACCTTTGGAATAAAACAAACTGCCCTTTGTGTCATGTGAATAGTTGCGCTGACGTTTCTGTGTTCTTATTATTTAATTTGATAAAGAAACCGTTCATTCAAAAAACTTTGATGTTGCTGGGAATAAAAGAAATTGATACTTAGCATTATAGAAATTGGTGGCTACTCTCATCTGGTGCAGATATCATTGGTGGCTATCTAATCACTGTTATCCATGTTAGCAAGCTGAGGAAATGAACTAATCTTTTTTTTAAATACAAACAAACATTGAACGCTTTTCTTTGCATTTGACAGAAAGCATGGCAAGCTTAGAAAAGAGTGCATTAAAAAACAACACACAAGTTGGTTACAAATATCAACTAGAAAATGTTACTACATGTTTGGTATCAAATTAATGAAGATCTTTTAAATCGTGACACTCAGCTTGCCTTTCTGTATGAATTGTTGACTGTCCAGCTGTGCTCTTGTTGTTGTGGAGAGTACCTGTTTTTCAGTTAAAAAGCCCATGACCTGCATTTTTCCTGTATTTAAATTTTTTCCTGAGGTCCACTTATTTGGTTTATGTGGTTTTATGATGTTTTTTTTTACTGTTCTTTAAGACCGATATGTGTAAATGAGCTCTATTCTGATAATTGTCCTGTTCTGTGCCCCATTCAAAAAGCAGCCGGGGGTATAATATTCCTTATAACTTCAACATGAATAGACAGAGCTAAACTGCTAAGAGCTTAAAAGGGGCTATACAGTACTGTGCAAAAGTTGTAGGCCCCTAAGCAAGTTGTTTAAAGTGTGTGTTTACATAACACTAACCTAATCCTAGAAAAAATACAAATAAACACAAA